GTGGGAACGCGCCGCTCGGGTCCCCCTCCGCGGTTGCAGCTTCCCCGCCCCCCCCACGGGGCGGCGCCCTTGCCTTCCGCGGGGGGGGGCGAGGCTGCTCCGGACGTGAGAGACCAGCGAGGAGGAGCTCCCTTCCCTTTTTGCCTCTTGGTGGGCCGATGTGTCGGAGGCCCTTGTGGATGATGGGTCGCCCTGGCCGCTTTCTTTGCAGCCCGGCGGAGAAGGGGTCTAAACCCTGAGCCCAGAGCGGCAGAGCTTTCGGCCTCCTGGGGCTTGTGCTTGGGGGCTTGGCCACAGGGATGAACCTCTCTGCTGTAGGTGCATCCCAGGCTGGTGGTGATGATGATGATGATGATGATGGAGCTCTGCCCTTGAAGGCCCTCGGTGCACATGGAGGGCCTTTTCCAAGGTGGCCAGAGGGCAGCCCCAGTCATGCCTAGGCTGGCACGAGCTGACTTTCTGCCCCAGTACTGTACTGGGGAACCAGTAAGAGCCACCACGGCGCCTCCGGGAGGAAGCTGGAGCAACCTGGCAGAGACGCGGCCGCCCTGGGCCTCCGCGGTCGGAGCGCTCCCGGTCCTGCACCCCTCGTCCTGCGTGGCTCTGCTGGTTCTTGCGGGACAGAATTTTAGAAATGGTCCCCGTTGTCACATGGGAGTTTTTCTCCAAAGACTTTTGTGGACAGCAACCCACTTCCTCAGCAATACTGCCTGGAGGGGCCCATCCTGACAGCAGACCCAGGATTCAGAGCAGGAGAGAAGGACTCGTTCTCCTCGCTTGTCACAGACTGATGGGTCGGTGGGCTGTTACTTAGATGGGATGGGGGGGGGCTCTGGAGGGAACCCCCAGCCTCCCCCCCCCGGCAAGTCCTGCAGATGCCAGGCAGGCTAAGCCCGGGAAGACTCTTTGGGGACTTGGCTTGCCTGCCGCTCTGCTGGATTCTAGGGGGCCCTCGTGGGGGGGGGGGGGGGGGGGGAGCCCATCGGTTCATAGAGGCCTGTGCTGGGGGGGGTCACTCCCGCTGCCGCTGAGTGGGCCGGTCGACTTGCCTCGGCCCCACACCTTGAGGAGCCGTTCTGCGGCCCGTGGTCCTCCAGAAGGGGGGGGCTGGCTTGCTGCCCCCTCACAGCCTGCCTTTGGTCAGCCTTTCCAGGATTCGGCGTAGCCAGCCACGTTGTGTGCCCCCCCCCAAAGCGCTGCTGGGGGTACATAGCCAAAAGGTTTCTGGGCCAGCCCACCTGGTGAGGCCAGAGGTTTAGGGAGGAGGAGGAGGAGGAGCGCCGGCCTTGCAGGGGAGGGACGGAGGGCCCACCGCCAGATCACTTGATCCGTCAGCCGGACCACATGACAAGCAGCTGAAAGTCATTAGCGGGGTACAGGCTGGTTCTCTGCCTCGCAGGTGGCCAGGAGCTGCCCGGGACGCACCACGGAGGCCTGGGAGCGCCTGGGTTTGTGAGCCGGCCCTCGGCTGCCCCCCTCGGCCTCAGCGTCCCGGCCCTGAGGCGCTGGCTGGCTGCCTGGCGGCTTCCCATGGACCAGCAGCTGGCCCTGAGGCCTGCGTCTTTTTGCTGCTGGGAAGCCTGTCCGTAGCTCCAGCCGAGAAACTGCCCTGCCCTCCCCTCCATCTCTCTGGACCCGAGCAGGTACGTGTTTCCAGCCCAGCCTGTTCTCCACACCCTCTGGCCACTCCCTCCACCCTGGAAAGCCCCCCCCCCACTTCCAAAGCCCTTTGTGCGCATTGCCTGAACAGGGGCTGTCTGTGTCTCCCTGTACTTCCATTGAGGGGAGAAGCCCCTTTTTAAAAGATGCCCTGCGCAGATGGAGGGCACAATCTTCCAAGCAGTCACGTCCAGGGAGGTCCCATCGTCTGCTCTCGGCGCTTCCAGCTGCCGTCCAAAACACCCTCGTGCTCCACTGGCAAAGCTAATTTTCCAGCCAGGCTGCCTGGGGGATTGTGGGAACTGTAGTCCTAGGAGCTAACTTAGCTGAGCTTGGCTTTCTGAGAGAGAAGCCCCTCTTCCCTGCCCCCCCAGCTCAGTGGGACTTGGAGCATCGCTAGGAAGGACACTTGGCGGCCGGACGTCCCAAAGGGCTGTTCATGCCGCCTCGGTCATTGCAGGAGTCAGAAGCCTGCTGGCGTGATGTGAATGGAGCGCCCGGACCCGAAGGGATGTTCAGGCACCCCAGAACCCACCACAAAGACCAGGCCTTTTTCTCTCTTAACGAAGAAGAAGAAACCGCTAGATTGAAGCGCCCTGGGGTTCGGCCTGCGCTGCCTGGGGGGCGGGGGGGAGGAGAAGGGTTAGGGTTTGTCTGAGACGCATGCTGGAGGCCGGGGGGGGGAGCTCGCGGGCCAAGAAGAGGGCGTCTTCTGGGCGTTTCCCCGGGAGCTTTTTCCTCTCTGGGGCTCCTGGGGGTTGTGTCCCCCCCCCCAGCAGAGAGGCCAGAGCAAAGGGGCTGGAGGGAAACAGACTCCAGGCAGTGGAGGGAGGAGGCGGCAGCTGGCTCTCTCTTGTCTGCTGCAGGGGTGTCGCGCTGTGGCCTTGGGCAGAGGGTGTCTTGAGAAGAGGCTCCAGCAGGGTCTGTGTGTGTGTGTGTGTGTGTGTCTGTGCAGGCTTGTTCAGCACTCAGAGAGGTTGAAAGGATCCCCTTCCCCAGAGAGGCTGCAGCAACGACTCTGGTCCGGGTCGTGGTGGTTGCGCCCCTTTGGACCGTGTCGCTTGGAAGCCCTTGTCGCTGCCCATGGCTTGCTAGGCCTTGGCCTCCAGGCGGGCGTCGCGCCTCCGAGTGCTGCTGTCGCCGCCTCCACCGCAGGAGAGCCTCCTCTGCCAGTCGTGCTCCGGCCTAGCAGGAGGGCCTCCTTCTCCAGCCTCGCCGAAAAGGGGCACCAGGCTGCTGGGTCCGGAGCGGGGCCCTGCCTTCTGCAGCCCAGGGGCCACAGAGGGCTCCCGGCGGCTGGCTGGCGTGGCGCCGTGTCCCCGTGTGCCCAGCCTGTCCCCATCGGTCGGCCCTGGCCCTGGCCGGCTCTCCGGATTGTAAGGCTCTTAATTAAGGGAAAGATAAAAAGGGACCTTGTTCCTTGCGCCTGCTTCCCACCAAAATAAAAGAAACCCTTCCTTATGAAAGGATCATATGATGCCGACAGGAAGGAACGTTCGTTCTGTGGCCGACCACAGTCAGGCGGGCGAGGGAGAACTGGGCTCCTCTTTGCACTTTGCATAATCCAGGGGGATATGGAGGAGGGGAGAGGGGGGGCCGCGGTCTGGGGCCTGGGTTAAGGGAAGAGCACGGAAGGGCCTGCGGTGTGTGTG